AAAAAATCCGAGTATTAAATATTATGGATATTTTAGTTTTGTATTTATGGACAGTTGCTGATATTTACAAGGGGATTGATCCTCTGGACATGTAAAGAGATCGGGAACACTCTTAGAGGGTCACCATCCTACCTTTTGGAGGAACGATCCGGTGCCTCATTATACAACTATGATGCTCCTGGTGCCGCACACACTCTCAAATGGATGTTCTACAATGAACTCGGCCTCGTCTTTGTTGCGGTGTATCAGTGGGTTCTCCATCTTCTATATGTGGATGATCTGCTTGCTATGGTGAAGAGAGTGTTCTCGGAAATATTTTATCCAAAATGGACTGTGTATGATGATTTTGACGACATAGTTAGGCAGCTTAGGGAAGTGGCTGAATATAGGGCCAAAGAAATGAAGAAATCAAAGCAGTTGGGTAAGCCTACGAATAATTACTTGGGTAGGAAAGAAGGTCAGATGAAAAAGGCTGGCCTTGATGGAGGTAATTAAAAAAAGAGTGGTGGTGAATCGGGGAATGATAGCTGGGATGGTGAAAAATGAAAAGGTCGCAAAATTCAAAATGAGCATTCGAATGGGAATTATGTTGGAATTGAGAAGTCTTCCATAATGGGTGCTGTTAGTGGTGAAGAGAATGCAAGTTCTAATTCTGTGGCTTTTGATGTACATAAGCTGCATAAGCTAAGAGCTAAAGGTGGGAAAAAGACTGATACCCTTGTCCACAAGGGTCCCAAGGCAGAGCCAAAGAAAAAGATAACGAAGAAAAATAGAGATTGGGATGATTCACCTCCAGAGTCAAAATTGGATTTTACAGATCCAGTGAGTCAGAATGGGGGCACAGGTTGTGGCAACTGATCAAGGTGAGAGTAAAGTCTGGAAGGTAAAAAGCTCAGTAATTTTTTCTTTACTCATCACCGACTTCTGCACTGTCTCTTTTACTGCTTCTGGTTGCAAAATATTAATACTATTAATTGAATTTTCTGACTACAGCAGCAATGAAAGAGGCTCTTGTTCGTATTTTAACTCCTAGAAGATATTGACATATTAAGGGACGTGCATGCTGCCGAGGAGCAAAGGAAACCATATGTAGTGGTTGTTAATGGAGTTGGAAAATCTACTATTCTTGATAAGGTTAAGCTTAATTTATATTAGTATATTTTATAGATTTTATATTTAAACGTATAGCTTCTCATTTGACTGGCTATTCCCAAATTTCATTCTGCAGGTTGCTTACTGGCTTCTGCAGCATAAGGTCAATTCCATGATGGCTGCATGCGATACGTTTTGATCTGGAGCTGTTGAGCAGCTGTGGACTCATGCACATAGGCTCCAGGTATGATTATGATGACACATCTCTCTTTTGATCTTGAGATTCTGCAGTAGCAAGCAATGATACCCAAGATGGACAGTCCTTCAGAGTATAATTGTGATAACTGACTTGTAACTAACCACCCTTGTCAGATCTCCCTATATTTATGATAATAATAAAAAAAAAATCCCTGTATTTGAGAAGGGTATGAGAAAGATCGGGCAATTGTAGCAAAGGAAGCGATTCAAAAAGCCACTCGGATTGGCTCTGATGTTGTTCTTATTGATACAGCAGCAGGTCGAATGCAGGTATTATTTAACATCACCATTCAAAGGATTTATGTGTTGTAACTGGTTAGATGGTCTGCTGTTGCAAGCAAATAATATGCACGTCTGAAGGAATTATAGGAACAGAATCCCACCATTAAATATGTCTTACTGGGTTGACCTGAGCAAGGCTTGTTGCAACAAATGTTACACCTGAACTGTGTCCTTTATAATTTTACGGAGAAATCATCTCATATGACCCTCACATCAATGTGTGGGTCAATATGGTTTAGGCATTTGTGGGCCCCCCCTGGAACATGGTGAATGGTAGAATGAGAGTGGCCATCACATCTTGTGACAGTTGCATGGATTAATTTTTCATATGGAATGGACTTCTAATTTTCATTGCATGCCGTTGCATTGTAAAGATTTGTTGTACTATATTTTACAGGATAATGAACCATTAATGTGAGCACTTTCAAAGCTTATTAATCTCAACAATCCTGATTTTGTCCTGTTCGTTGGCGAGGCACTGGTTGATCTTTCAGCCTCTCCTTATCCCAGACTGATTGATGGAATTCTGCTCACTAAGTTTGATACCGTTGATGATAAGGTAGATGATCTTATTTTACAGCTGAGTCTGAATATCTTAAGTGGTTTTCAGTTGGAAACTTCTTTTCAAAACGAAAGATGAACTGAATAATCAATGCACAATGAATACATTTCATCAATGGTTTAAGTTTGATAACATTTCATCATGTTTGCTCCATATGAATATAGGAAGTGATTATCTTCTTTAGTGGGTCTTAATTTTGGGCTTGTATAGCATAGTTCTTTTTTATTATCTTCGACTTGGTTTATGACACCTGAAATCATTTAATGTTGGAGCTGCACTGTTGATGTTTTACATATCCGGAGCACCTGTCATGTTTGTTGTCTGTGGACAGTCTTCTTATACAGACCTCATGGAGCTCAATGTCAAGTCCATTGTGAAGACACTCCTTAAATGAGATTATGTGATTTGCCCTTTCAGTTATTCAAGCACGCCACCCTTCTCTCTGTTATCAATTACCTGTATGCTACAACTTATATACTGTCCCTGTGTGATCTCATTATCTGGATGTTGGAGGTGAATTATCTGGTATGTGATTAAAGTATTTTGCTATCAGAAAGATGATTATGTTATTTTATCCTGCATCTTTGTGTTCTTTTTATTTATTTATTGCCAGGCATGCTACTTAGATATCCCAGATTTCTCAATTTGATATTTATTATTTACATCTTTCTACACGTTCAAGTGTTGCTTTTAATTTAAAACTTGGCTGGTTTTATACTTTTATAATCACATTTACATAATATGATGTTTAAACATCTATCATTTATAAGTTTAGAAGATCTTCTCTAGTTGATCAACATTTTCTAGTTCTTTAGGGTTACCCTTGTATTCTCCCATTATTAATTTATTGCACTCACAAAAAACTAGTCAATACTATAAATTTGTGTAAAGGAGGTTATTATGGGGTGGCATCTCTGTTAGGCATAATTTTGATAGGTTGGCAAATCTCAGTTACAAAATATTTAGCAGTATAGGAACAAATTGTCATAAATACATTGGAGGCTATGAAGGATTAAAGATGAATAGTTAATTTACGGAGCTTCGTTGAGAGAGTTTATAGAAAGATGAGAATAGTATGGTGATCAAATCTTAGGCTGCTCAGTTAGTGAAAGCTTGTTGCATGATGTGCAATACAGGCTGGGGCTAGAGACCTACTTTCAAAGGTTAATGGCTGTTTATGCCCTATGAAATTAAATAAAATGATCAAATTTTGTTTGGAAAGCAGTAGTTAGAAGAATTACTTCCGTCTATTACTTATGTTACAACTTTTTAATGTACTTTTCAGAAAAGGAAAAAAGAAACAGAAAAAACTTGTTTCTTGGTTTTATGACTTGTATTTTGGCCTTATAAACCAAGCAAATGTTATCAGTGTATGGTGTAACATGGGGATGACCAGCTCTTTTGTAGAGGTTCAGTCAGTATGGTGGTGCATGAAAACATGTATGTGCTATGTATTACTGTTACAAATTTAATGCAACATCACTTTATTACAAATTTAATGCAGTAAAGTTTTCAAGAGGCAGTAAGAGTTCTTGACCATTGTTTTTGTTGAGACACATCAGGCATCACTGTAAGTTGTTGGTGAGTCATCATTGATCGAATTTAATGAATAACCTTTGATCTTTTAGTTTATTTATGACATGGTGGTTATCAATAAAATTTGATAGCTCAATTGGTATTAGCATGCAGGTTAAAGCTCAAGCCTGTCATCAGAGAAAATTCAAGCCAGCACTAGGAATGATGGCTCAGCATTTCTTGCCCCGGCATAATGGACCTTTTAAAATCATATCATATGGATTCTAAAAGTCTGAGAATAAGCTTGTATTCTAGAAGCGGTAGCTTTCCACCTCCTTCCTGACAACAGCATTTCTTTCAGTGGCTGCTGAAATTTCATCCAGTAAGTCGAGAATAAGCTTGCGTTCTAGAAGTGGTAGCTTTCCTCATCCCTCACGACACATGTACTTCTTAAATTATACGCTTGATTTGTTGGATTTTGCTTGCAAGGGCATTATTAATTCCATTGGGTGACTAGTGAATTAGTTATTGCAAATTTTGGTACCCTATATACCCTATGCTTTCAATGCTGTGCTTGTGCGTTAGCGTGTTGCAATATCAAGTTGAACTTTGTTTCAGTTGATTAAAAGACATGGGTAAATTTGGGAACATAAAGTAAGCATATGCTGCTGGGCCCAGAAACTTGAGGCCTAAGATGGATTACGAAAGACCTAATCATGTATTATAGACCTAATCACATATCGTGTAAATGGACTTCAATATGATCATGGTGCAAAAGTTGGGATGAAGGGTAACATTTGAGAAAAGCATAAAAAGTAATGAGATTTGTAATTGGTAACATTCTTTTTTAATTTTAAGAGTGACCATCAAAATAATTATGTAGTAATTAATATGACAAAAGAGCATAGAAAGTAGAAGAGAAGAGAAGAAAAGAAAAGATGGTGATGGTTACTGGGTTCTCTAACGTTGAAGTGGAACACTAGGTTCCTCCTCCTCCTGCTTTCGCGTTCTCTTCATTTCTTGTTATTGCAATGCAGCACTTCGTGTGTAGTGGCCCACAATCCGTTCTTTCTTCTTTTGCTTTCGCGTTCTCTTCATTTCTTGTTATTGCAATCTAGCACTTCGTGTGTGTATGTATATGCGCATGCATATATGTATATCATATGACTCTTATATTTCTCCATTTCTTTGTGTTTTGCCCTAACTCCAAGAGCTAACCCAAACCCCCTTTGCCCAACAAACCTTTGATTTAAGTCAAAGAACAAACCCTAATTACTGAGATTGACTGCCCATGGCCATGCATACTCAAGAGTCAGTAGTAGATGCAATGAAACGAAACCACCCGTCCGAATGCAGTGGTTGTGACTGCGAAGAGCAAGTGTTCCTTTCCCACTTCCACTTCCACGAGAGAGGCACCTACCAACGTCTCTGCGCGGATTGTGTCCTCAAGAAAAGATCTGGCTACTTCTGCGCCATCTGCTTCGAAATCTACGACCGACTTCCTCCTGTTGGCGAGCGCCTCATGTGCGTGGACTGCCTTGCCATCTCTCACCTCTCCTGCGTCGGCTCCAATTTCACTCGTCTCTACAAATGCCCTCCCTGTGCGAACCCTAATTTCACTTTTTTCAACCCTAGAGGCTCATCTGAGAAGAAGAACATTGAAGGAAGTGATGGAGGAGAATCGGCGAAAACAGAGAGTAGCAGCAGAGCGATCGATAAGGATTCAGTGAAGCAATTATTGGCTACTGCAAAACTTTCATTGGCATCGATGGACAAAGCGGCGTCTGTTGCTAGAGTTGAAGTCCAGAAAAGGGTTAAGGAAGCCGTGGCGGCAAGGAAGATGGCGAAGGAAGCGGTTGAGCGAATCGCGTAGTACGACAGAGGAGAGAACTGAAAATGGTTTTGAAAGAATAGCCCTGTCAATCTGATGACCCAACGGCCAAGAGAAAGACAGTAGTAGTTCGTTGGTTTTTTTTTTTTTTTTTCATGATGTCCATGGGCACCCTTCTTTTCGTGTTCTATATAGGTTCCATGGCTCATGCTATTGCTACCTATTTGCTAATAGAATGGGGCACTTGGGTTTCTTCCTAGACAATTGTAATTATTGGGGAATGTCCCTTGAATTGTGTATAAACTAATAGTTTGAATCAACCATATGTACTTCATGACAAAAAAGACAAAAAAAAATCATATGTACTTCACCTTACTTGCTAAAAATGGAGTTAAAAATGGATTTTCAAAGTTTTTATTTATTTATTTTTATGTTGAATAGGGAAATTATCAGCTAACATTTTTTTTAAAATATATTTTCAGTAAAATTCATTTGAATATAAAAGTAAATTAACATTAAGAAAACTAAACATTATATTTCTTCCGTCTCATAATAGTTTAATATTTTAGGAAGTGTTTGACGACACGAATACATGTAATGTAGTAATGTAGTGTGAGGTTTATGATTTTAGAATGTGTGTAAGAGAATATCCATTTTGCTCTACATAAAAATTTACTATCAACCCTCCAAATATTGGACATATCATTAGGTGTACTTGTTATATATATATATATATATATATATATATATATATATATATATATATTATAAAAATGTTTTATTGAGTTTTGTACTAAAAAAAAAAAAAATGAAAGTTTTTTGTTAAGTCGTTAAGGATATGTTTTTGAACTTGAAAACTTGAAGATCAACAAATGAAACGTCAATTGTCTCCTTAAAATTTATATTTTTTACTATTAAAATTCCAGTAATGTGGCACAAGAATTGGGCTCAATTAGGGCTACCCCAATAGACCAGAGTTGAGCACATTACACAGAAATGAAGACCAGTTTAGGCCCAGCCTGACTCTTGATTGATCAAGATTATATTTATTGGGCTTTAGCCTGAATTTGTCAGTTTATTATTTCAGCCCAGCCGTCCACTAAGGCAAACCCTACTTTTTCTCTTAATCATCTACTATATAAACAAACACACAACACAAGTTCTAGGGTTCAGTAGCTGCAACTCTCGTATATATATTTACTTTTGTTACCCCCTTTCCCCAATCTCCACCAACAACAACCAAAGTATGGCTGAGAGAGGAGGAGAACGCGGTGGCTTCGGGCGAGGCTTTGGCCGTGGCGGTGGCAGGGGCGACCGCGGTCGTGGTCGTGGCCGAGGCCGTCGTGGCGGCGGCAGGGGTGGGGCGGAAGAAGAAAAGTGGGTGCCGGTGACAAAACTCGGCCGTCTCGTGAAGGAATCCAAGATTGGGAGCCTAGAGCAGATCTATCTCCACTCACTCCCAATCAAGGAGTACCAGATCATCGACACTCTGGTGGGACCTTCACTCAAGGACGAGGTCATGAAGATCATGCCGGTCCAGAAACAGACCAGGGCTGGTCAGAGAACCCGGTTCAAGGCTTTCGTCGTCGTCGGCGATGGAAATGGCCACGTCGGACTCGGTGTGAAGTGCAGCAAAGAAGTAGCCACGGCGATTCGTGGGGCTATCATACTGGCGAAGCTTTCGGTGATTCCAGTGAGGAGAGGGTACTGGGGGAACAAGATTGGTAAACCACATACGGTGCCGTGTAAGGTCACCGGAAAGTGTGGGTCAGTCACGGTGCGGATGGTTCCGGCACCACGGGGTGCCGGTATTGTTGCGGCCAGGGTGCCCAAGAAGGTGCTGCAGTTCGCTGGGATTGAAGACGTGTTCACTTCTTCGCGTGGGTCTACCAAAACTCTTGGCAATTTCGTCAAGGTTCGATCTAATCTCATTTTATTCCAAAGTATATATGTGTATATGTTAGTGATAATTGTTTACTGCTGAATTTAATTTTAGATGGGCATGTTTTGCTTTACGTATGCTTATATATGTGTTATGTTAGTGATGATCTTTGGATTTATATATGTGATAATCTTTGGATTTACTTTTAGATGGCCATTTTGATAATGAGGTATAATTAGGTATGCATGCTTCATTTATTCAAGTATATATGTGTTTGATTCATTTGTATGTATTATGTATGAGCTATGGATATGGTTTTTTTTGTTTGTTTGTTCTTGTTTATGTACTCTTTACTAAGGGAAAAGAAAAAATGTTGGCCTCAGTGATTCTGGTGGAAATCTAAATCTGATACTCCTGCAACTAACAGGCTGATTTGTTAAGAAACGGTTGAAAGTTTACATATGAATTATGTCTAGTGGTCAGTGGTGGAAAATGATTACAATATAGAAACTTGACCATCTGGATATATACTCTTGTAACATCCAGATGATCCATTTTCTTTTTGCAAGAGTAAACATTTTTGGTCTGGATTTTATGGGTGGTACTGCTGTTTGTCCATCATATATTTTAGTACAGTGTAGTTACATTTCAAATTTTTATTCTAGGATGAATGGATGAACTTGAAATATCCAGCTTTTTTGTGATATTCTATTCTAGGTTGTAGTGTGTTTTTCTTAGATGGTACATCCGTTTTTCCAATATGTTATTAAATTGGTGAAATTGGTTAAACCATCTTTTATATATACTTTTGTAACATGATCTCAGGTTTGCAGTGTTCTTCAAATTCTTAAAGCCAGATTATTATGTTAGAGTATTGCAGTGTTTAGGGAAAAAGTTTGAGTCCCAAATTGTTGTGATCATTATTATGTAATGATGTTGTGGGATTTTGTTCCTTATCATCAGAGAGGGCTCTAATTCTTGAAACTGATTTACGTTTTATTATCTCAATGTTGTTTCTGATCATCCATGGCTGTTGTAAGAGTCGAGTATCTCACTTGCAATTAAAGGTGAATTACTATTTTTTTTGACAAGTTAAACGTACTATTTATGCACATGATAGGCATAAATTTTTAATTAATTTTTCCCCTTTTCCTTTGTATATCTTGAGTTGATTGCTTGTCTATCTAATTTTATCTTTGCTGTGGTAATGCTTAAATATTGTTGCATCTCACCTGACACTCGTTGAACAGGTAATGAATAAATATCAGCAAATAAATATTAAGAATGCTGCTCTATATTTTTGGGTATTGTGAATAAAGTAGTGTGTTGCCATATTGCCACATGAAAATTTATAGACAGAAAAATGGAAGTTGGCCCATGGAAATACAGAAGACGTTTCCATATATTATGGCAACATATTTCCATTTTGTATTTTATTTTGAAATTCATGTGGGTATCCAATGAATATTTTATTTTCAGGCCACTTTCGATTGTCTTCTGAAGACTTACGGCTTCCTCACTCCGGACTTCTGGAAGGAGACTCGCTTCACAAGATCTCCATTCCAGGAATACACAGATTTGTTGGCAAAGCCCACTGCGAAGGTGGTTTACATAGAGGATGCGGCTGCAGCTGCAGCTGCACCTGAGGCTTGATTTGTTCATTGTCTAATCAGAGCACTGAGTATGTTTTTTTTATGGAACTTCTAGTATTAGATTACTTGTTAAAATTTTATCCCCTTTTGATTTCGAGGGTCGTTATTTTGATTTCTTTTTGGTTATCTAGACAACTCATGTTTTAAATCAAATGGTTTTTTCCTTGCTAGATCTTGAATGGTTGTTTTCACATCATTGTTCTCCCAACTATAACAGAGATTGTAGTTGTGATACGTTTTTATGTGTTGTATGAATTGGTTGTGGAGTAACTTAATACTGTGGTTGTTGTACCCATATGCTAGATCTTCAAAGATTGGATAGGGACATATGATTAATCTACAGTGGGACTTACTTTTTCAGGATATAAATTACTGAATTTGATGAGGCGTGTTATTTGCCCATGTGATTGGATGAAGTAACATGCTACAAACATTTTAATATGATATTTTACTTCCATGGACTGTAATCATCATCCTTCCTCATAATGGTTTTCATACAAATTTTTTTTTCACACTAGTCTACGACATCTGAACCAGTAATTCGATTGATTTGTATATGGACATTTACCATGTTGTTGACATCCAAAGAGATGTGTTGCAGTTGTAGACTCTTGTAACAAATATTTTCGATGACCAGTTGAAGTTGTGTTGATGCATTTTACTTGCCTGTAATGAATTTGGACAATATGCTTGAATGGAGGTTGTTTATGAAAATCATATTATGGATGTTAAGCTTAAAATTTTCAAAAAATAAAAATTGCTGACTTTAGGCTTTTCAACGTAAAATATATTCTTTTATTTTTAGTCGAGTCCATCGGCAGGGCGGGGCGTGTAAAATATTTTTCTTCTTTGTAGATATTTTAGACAACCAAACAGCAAAAAATATTTTTTATTTTCTGAACAATTTTATACAGAAACAAACGAGCCTTAATGTTTAGAAACTTCCCAACTCAAACCGTGCCATGAGAGGCATCCAAACGTCTACTAATAAGCAAAAGAATAATGTAATATTTCTTGACATTTTTATTGAATATATTTACAATTGTTATTATTATTTCAATATGGGTATAATATCCGTTCTTTCTTAGGTCTCAATAGTCAACCATGAATGTAAGAATTCAGCAGATACTTCATCCCCCTTCATCTCTCTACAAATTAAACAAAACTTGCTCCATTTCTCTATCAATAATACAGAACGAAAACGGTGCATGTATTCGAGATTCTAGTTGTATTCGGTTGTGATTCTTAGTGTTGATTTGGTTTAAAGGATAATAAATTGTTTATAATTCATGAGCCAATTTGCCTTGTAATTTTGAAAAGAAAAATAATATCAGTTGTTTTTATCTTTGTTCTTATAAGGTAGTAATAATTTGCTAGAAGGTTGTGATGCGGTTAATTTGGTTGCCCAAAATGCTGAGCGAGTCAAAATGAATTACTTTAGCATTTTAATTAACTTTTGGTTTATAAGAAAAATCCTGAATTTACATGCAACAAAATGTGTGAAATAATATATGGTAATTGATATTTGCGTGTATTCCATTTTTATTGGGAGAAGTAATATATAATTCTAGATTTTAAACTAAAAACAGGGATGTGCAAATGTGAAGATCAGAAAGAGTGGAGTTCAAGGAATATGAAATATAGCAAGGGAAACAGAGTCCCTACTTTTTTAGCCAAACTCTATAAAAAGCTCCTCCAAGCTATCTGACCTCAGAACCTTGCCTCAATGTCAATGTCAATGTAGCTGCTATTCTGTTTCTAATGCTTTCGTTTTCCCAGTAGAACCCGGCAATTTATTTTACACAAGAATTTGCAATTCAACAACAAAGGGTTTTTTAAGATCAAAAACATAAAAAGCAATCCTAGGCAATTTATTTTTCCATGCGGATCATAAATTATCATAGTTTAATTAGAGAAACTAATGAAATTATTTATCAATCACCTTTCAAAAAAATATTTATTTATCAATCCAATTAAACACCTATACGAAGGATCATACATGAATTAAATTTACCAATTAGGAATCAAAGAAATTTTTATTAGAAAAATAAATAAAAGCACTGCGTAGAAGACAAACCATCACCTATAACAATCATGAAGAATTGGTTGTGAATTTTCAAAACAGAAAAGTGTGCATACGACTCATGCATAGAATGGATCAAATCATACATGTACTCATGTAGTTGTATGCAAACTTCTCTGCACTGAGAATCACAACCGAACATATGCACTCTTCTTCCTCTAATATGAAGATTATATTATATATAGAGAGAGAGTTTTGTTGAAGCCTCTGCTAAATTCTTATGACTACTGAGTCTGAGAGACCCATTAAACCCGAGGAGGGGTCTCAAATTTTCGCCGCCAATATATAATGTTGCGTGAAATCAAAGTAATGTGTCCACAACCTAATCATTCAATATCTATCTCCTCCAATTTATAAGAAAGTACCGTAATGATAATTTTGTGGCCAAGACTGACTACGCAGCTTTTCACCATTTGTTCCCTCTTATAAATTTTGCAAAAAGAAAAAAAAAAAAAAAAGAAAAAAAGAAAAAAGAAGAAGAAGTTATGGCCATGCTTGGAATAGATTTATGAAAACTGTTCTCAAAAACAGTTCTCAAGAACAATTTTCAGAGAACAATTTTTAGTTTTTTCATATTTCAAGCCTGCTTGGTTAAGAGAATTTACAAAACAGTTTTCGGAAAACAAAAACTCATAAAACTACTTGGTTGTATGAATTTTTGAAAATAGTTTTCTAAACTAAGGAAATAAATAAAAATATTATTGTACACTTTTTTATTTTTTTTATTTATGATATTAATATTAATATAAATATATATATATATATATATAATTGTTGGAGGTAAATTCATTTTAATTAGTATTTTTAACTTAATAAAAGTAACTTCATCTAGCATTGCCTTTGAATGATGCCCACATTTGATTCATCAGATGAGTTCTGACGACTCCCATTTGTGCTGCACCACTATCAGATAAATTAAGTGCATTCAGTACACCAATATTTAGTATTAAAACGTGTGTATCATGCATGGATTGGAATAGAGATATTTAATAAGATGTGTGAATCAAAAGACTCATTCATTCATAAATTGCATCCATTAAAAAATAAAAAATAAAAAACTTTCTATAAAGGAAATTGAATCCAATATCCTGATATTCAAATACAATTTTTTTTTTCATTAATGGAGATGTTATATTGAACCAAAAGATCAAGCATTTAGTATATACTTAAAGAGAGTATACCCTCCATGAAAAATCAATATGGACGGCCTAACAGACCACTCAAAACAGTAAAGAAGCTTGGACACACACTCTTCGCTAATCACTTCCCTTTTTTACAATAAATCACCAAGAACAACAAATAATATACTATTATTAAACTACAAATAATTATTTCAGGATTTATTTATTAAATAAATAAATAATGTATATTAATCATGTGTGACATGGAATTTTGAACTTTTATCACTTAATTAATATAAGATAAGATGAATATATATAACCGAAATTAAATTTTTTTTATCAAGCAAACTTTTAAAGTTAAATTTTATGATCACATAATTTATTTTTAAGTGTAAACTTTGTAAAAATTAATTAACAAACTTTGAAAATTAAATTAATATTTATATTGTTGCATGAAATATATAACAGCAGACAGCTTCCATGAGTTTTTGATAAATTTATACAGTTTTTAAAAAAACATTACAGCTTCCATGAGTTTTTGATAAATTTATATAATTTTAAAAAATATATTACGTCAAAATAAATGGAGCCTTAGATTATATTTTAACAAGATTATACATTAACATTATTATTATTTCTTGTTAAGTAAGAAAATGAATGAAAAAGGAAAAACTATACAAATATACTTGGGGCATACCCCAAGACCCAACAATGGGCAGAAGAAAACCCAAAAGGCCCAAACAAACCTTAGAAATAAAAGTACATAGCCTAGGCAAAAGTCCATCCGAAAGTGAAAGAATCCCACAAACAGGCTTAATACCTAAGGCTATGTTTGGTACAATGTAAAAGAAAAGAAAAGATAAAATTAGTTAGGAGAGAAAAGAAAAGAAAGGAAAAGAGAGGATATATAGTTAACCACTTATCGTGTTTGGTTGATTAATTAATAAAGGAAAATAAAAGAAATGATAGTAATCATGTATGGGGAAAGAAATAAAAGGAAAGTATTATCATGAATTTACTATCATACTCATTTTTATAGATTTTGCCTTTTATAAAAAGAAAGGCAAATTTGGTATTAAAAAATTTTCATTAAAAAAACTAGTCTTTTCTTTCATTTTCGTCCATTTCCTCCCATTTTTGGAAGGCTAACAAAACCAACACATCTTATATATAATTGGTTTCCTTTCTTTTCTTTTAAAAACTCATCCCAAACACAATATTTGATTTCCCTCCATTACCTTTCTTTTCTTTTCCTTTCAATACCCTCCAACCAAGCTGGGCCTAAGTCACATAATGTGGGAGCACAACCACGAGCATAATAGCGGCAAGCACGAGCACAATAGTGATAAACACGAACCATCTGCTAGAAGAAAAGAGCTCGAGTAGAACAACTAGCTTATCAAGTGAACCAACAAGCCCAATATCTTTTATATATTAGATTAGATAGGTAGTAGTAGTAATTAATAGTAAAAGCAACCCCAGCGCTCGGTTTTTTTCCCATTCTACACTTTATATAAAGTGTATAGTCACATGAACAACTTTATGTAAAGTGTACATCCACATCAACAATTGATTGTACACTTATTTTGGAGGCTCCAACTTCTTGTTGTGCACTTATTTTTTCATTGTTCACTTTATTATATTATTATTTTTAAAATAATAAAATAAATTTATTATTATTATTATTTTTTTTTTTCAACAGTTTTATTCTCAACAACTATAATACTAACAACTATAATTGTTTGCTTCGATTTAGATACAAGATTTTAAATATATATATATATATATATATATATATATATATATATAAGTGCATTACATAGCTTCCTACAAATATTATGTAATAAATAAATAAATAAAATTGATAAGTCAAAGAGTACAAACTTTTTTTAAAAAAAATAATTAATTAAATTATTATACAAATTAAATGACTATTTTTATTTATTTAGAAAAAAATGACTTTTTT